GGGGGGGGGGGGAGGCAGGGCTGCAGAGTTCGTGGTGCCCAGTTGTCACACCACACACATTTATGGGATGTCAGGGCCGCGTGGCCCAGAAGCAACAATCCGTGAGCCCAACTCCATGCTCAAGTCCTTGCTGCTCAGAGCATGATGCCCGCCCCACCCAGCATCCCACAGTCAAGAACCTGGACCAGCAAGTCCACGCCTGGGGCTGAAAACAGGAAACCTGGGGCCTCCAGGAGCCCTGGTGCACGAGTGTGTGTGTGTGTGTGTGTGTGTGTGTGAGAGACAGACAGACTGACAGCCTCTGGGAACATGGAACCTGGCATCTGTGTGACTGTGTTTGCAAGTCTGCAAGTGTCTGGCACACCCTGCATGGTGTCAGGCTTGTCAAAACAGGCACTGTGAGCGTGGAGTGGCATGTCTAAGCATGTCTGGCTAGGAGCGTGTTTGTCCTGTGGCATGGTGTCTGCTGGGTGGGCTAAGGGCTTGCGACTAGTCTCCCTGCACAAGAGGGAGGCAGCACTGGGCAGCCTCCCTGCTGGTGGCACAGCAGCCTTGTGTCCCAGCGAGGCCACCCCCTGAGCATCTGAGCGGGCACAGCAGGGCGGGCAGAGTGGCCGCGCCTATCATCTGGGCACATACTCCCTGGGCAGCCCAGCCCAGTTGTGATCGCGCAGGGCCTTGTCCACCGTCCGGATGTAGCCATTGATCAAGTCCTTCATCTCAGGGGTGAAGGGCTCCGGGTCGTGAGGGCGCCGGCCGTGCCGTCGGAAGCTGCCCTCCTTGTTGTTCTCCACGCACAGCAGCCGCTCCTCGCTCACGGTCACGTTAAGGAAGGCCACCATCTCCCGCAGCGTGGGCACCAAGCTGCGCCGCAGCTCCTCATAGTGCACGACCAGCAGCCGCTTGCCGTATTTGAGCCAGTCCAGGACGTGCGAGGACCACCACGATGCGTAGCTGTTGACGAAGTCAGGCCACTCTGCGGGGGACAAAGGGGTGCCGTGTCAGACCCCGGCCTGGGAGGGCTGCTGCCCCTCTGGATGCCCAGGGAAGCGGCCAGGATTTTCCATCACCCGCTGCCCACGGCCAATCTGCCAGAATCTCCGGCTGAGAAAGACCTTCCTGGTGACTTAGTGCGAATAAAGGTTAGCATCAGGCTGGGCTCTGCAGAGTCCTAAGCTGGGAAGACATGACCATGAGTCTGCCTGCCCCCCAGCAAACACATTGAGTTAACATACGTGCAAACTGCATGCACCAAGAACTGGTTCTCTCTCTCACATGCTATGAATTCTTGGACTTGGGCCCTGCACCTGGCCAGGGAGAGCTGGGCTGGGCCACAGTGCATGACACAGCGGTATTAAAGATAGGTGGGAAACCGAGGCAGGGCATCTCTTTGGAGATGACCCTCATTCACCTTGATCTTGTCTCTGGCAACTATGCACATGTGACGTGGGTGACAGGGACTGGGCAGCGTGTGTGTGGGCAGCCGCTGGGCCTCCCAGTAAGGAAGACGCTGCCCGGGCCAGGCTTCCTCTCCCGGCCCCTCCTGAAAATCTGAGTGAGCACTGCCTGACCGGTGCTCACTGTGTCGGCGGGTGTGAGGCAGCTGGACCTGTGGCACAAGGGGCGGGAAGATGTATGACGAAGCCATGGATGGGCCCAAACTTCTGCAGATGACCTACTTCATGAGATTTCTAGCGAATTAAGAAATCAGGTGTTTTGTTTAGGGAGGGGAATGCAAATGTTAAGAATCACCCTAACAAAATAGTTTTCATAACTGGGCTATGGGAAGCATTTGTTTTCTCTCATCCTCAGCATAGTCCTCTGAGATGGGGACCACCCTGCTTTTCAGATGAGGAAACTGAGGCTCGGAAGGTATGCAGCTTCCCCCGGTCATTTGGGCTGGTAAGAAGCCCAGGAGGGATCACAGCTTAGCTGGCTTCCATCCTAAAGGGGGGCAGGGATGGCTGGGTGCTGGTCTAAGACAAGGGTGATGAGGAAAAGGAAGGCCACGGGTCAGCCTCAGTGGATCCAGAGCCACGCAGGGACAGAAGCACAGCCTGCCTGGCCTATAGTCCTACAACTCATCACGCCACCACCCTGAATTTTTTTCTGATGGCTTGATTTGATATCGCTCACCACCCTGACCTGTACCTCCGTAATTCACTGCTAAAAGGCCGTCTGTGCATGCCTTGAGGGCAGAGACCATGACCCCTTTCCTGGGCCCCCGGTGCCTTGCCCAGCGCCTGGCACACAGTAGGACTTCAGTAAGTATGTGTCAGCAGGCTGCCTCCATGAATAAAGTAGCAGTGACCCCCACCTGCCAGCCCCTTCTCTACCTTTGCTCTTCCAGTTGCGGTCAGCTGCGTAGCCCAGGTGGCCCGCACACTTCCTGTTGAATTCGGCCACCAGGGACCGGTACGGGTTCCGGATCAGCAGGATGGCCGAGTCGAACATCTCGATCTCCCTCCTGCCACTCTCGTGGGTCTTCACACAGATGGTGCGCCGGCTCCGCCAGTGGTCCTTCTCACCCTTAAATCCTGCCCGGGACAAAGCGGAGGGCTGCTTTGGAAGAAGGCATGTTGGGGCCCCGACTGCCAGGCAGCAGATAAATCCAAATGCCAGCCTGCATCCCTGACGGAAAACTGACAATAGGGGCAAAAGAGAGGCCCGTGGATGGCAGAGCAGAGGGCTCTGGGAGGCCTATGGATGGCTGACAGGAGGGGCCTCCATGGGAGGCGACCGATCGATGTTTCTCTCTCATATCTGTTTCTTTCTCTCTTTCCCTTCCTTACTCTAAGCATGTCCTCAGGCGAGAATTTTTTTAAAATAGCATTTTAGCCTGGCCGGCGAGGCTCAGTAGTTTAACATCGACCAATGAACCAGGAAATCAGGGTTCGATTACTGGTCAGGGCACATGCCTGGGTTGTGGGCTCGATCCCCAGTTGGGGGCGTGCAGGAGGCAGTGGATCAATGACTCTCTCATCATTGATGTTTCTATCTCTCTCTAACTCTCCCTTCCTCTCTCTGAAATCAATGAAAATATATTTTTTAAAAACTTAAAAAATAGCATTTTGATAAGCTACCCTTTGCCTTAAAAAAAAAAAAAAGGAGCGAGCAGATACAGTCTCAATTATTGGGGGTTCTGAAAAGTAAGGAAAATCCGAGAAATGTTTCTGGAGAGGGAGTCCAAGCTACTAAGCTTTCCCTTTGAATCCGGAATAGATCTCATGAACTTTCCCTTGACTTGTGGTCCGAGGCCCAGCGGCGTCATTACCCAGGAGCCTGTCGGAAACGGCAATTCTAGGCTCACATCGGATCAACTGAGCCGGACTCCGAGGCTCGGCCCAGGAGTCTGCTGAATTGAACACGTCCCTGGGAGGTTGTGACACACATGCATGGGAGAAGCACTGCTCCAGGGCCCCGAGGAGACGGTCTGGCCACGGGAGCTGCCTCCCCCCCTCTCCTCAGCCTTTGCCTACCTTTGTTGTAGAGAGTCCCGTCGAAGTAGTAGCTGCCGGTGTAGAAGCCGGTGGCATGCTCGATGAGGTGCCGAGCCCACGTGTTCCCCGCGCCCGGGAAGCTCGACAGAGCCACAAACACTTTGGACTTGGTGGGCAGGAACCTCCTGTCTGTGCACCGTGTGTCTGAAAGCCATACGTTGTCTCAGGGTCACTTACCCTCGTGGTGACAGACTCACCGCCGGACCCCCCTAGATAGAAACTGCTGATCCAAGACTCCTGCTTAACACAAGTGTGAACTGAGGTCTCCAAAGGGGGAGGGGTTTACCTCCTGCACATGGCTGGCCAGAGAAAGCGTCAGTGACAACGAGGCCTCGGAAGCCCACTCAAGAGTGTGGTGCATATTGGCGCCCTGAGCACCCTCAGCCTCAGCTTTGTCTCCATGGCCACAGCCAAGCCTTGGCTATGGGCACAGCACAGATAACTGCAGGGGAGGTGGCTGGGGTCATGGCTGGGCTGACCAATGCCACACACCCAGGTACAGCCAACAATGAGCCTGCTGGACTAGTATCAGGTAAGCAACCTCTCTGAGCCTACTCTTCCTTCCCCCAGGGCTGCATGAAATCATCACGTGGAAGCCCCCACACCCTGGACTGTGCTGGGTCACAGCAGGTGCTCCATGAAGGAGGCAGCATCCCGCCCCCTCCGCTCTTCCTCCACCAGCTCCTAAGGTCAGCCGGGCAGACTGGATGCTCACACATTACAGTCCAAAAGCCCTACTGGTCCCGAGGACCTGGGTTGGCCTGGGGAAGCCTCTGAGGCTCCTGTGGCCACTGAGCTCCCATGGACGCAGCGCCACCACCTTGCCACTGCTATCCATCCCTCTGGCCCTGCCTCTCTGCACTTCCTTCCTTCCTCAAGCCACCCTTATCTCCAGAGAGACTCAGATAAAGGTCAGATGCTCTTCAAACTGACCCCTGCATCCTGTGTCCAGCTTCCATGGATGGTAGAGGCCTCCTCCATCCCGGATACAGGGTTTTTACACAGACGCCCTTCCTACCCCAGGACTGCAGTCAGCCATGGCCAGCATTTACAAACCCCCAGACCAAATGCCACAACCAGAGGCAGGCGCAGGGAAGAGGGCCCTTCACGCCTTGCCCACCTCTGGGGTGGGGGCTCACCTTGCACCGGGGTCTGGTAGACCTGGCAATACTTGGCCAGCCTCTGTGCCTCAGGCTCCTGGCCACACAGTGAGCTGTTCACAGCATCCCGCAGGTTGAACTGGGGGGTGGGGTAAGCACAGTAGCACTCCCAGCCTCTGAGGATGGCCAAGGGGAACTCCTGCAGGACAAGGAGAGGAAGAGGAGCATCTCGGGTGAATGTGAGGGCCACACCTCCCACAGCTCAGGTGTGGGATGAACACATGGACGTGCTGCCAGCTACCAGCTGCCAGCTATAGGGGATCAACAGGGATATCTGTCCATCCTTTTAGTGCTGTGCTCTGTGCCCAAGCCCAGGGAGACCAACTCAATGAGATGTGACTTCTGCCCTCCAGTAGCTCACAACTGGCGGCTGACAAGTCAACAGTTATATAGCACAGTGAGAATGGTGCTATGACAAAGGTGAGCCAGGTGTGGAAGGAGGGAGCAGAGCCTGGACTGGACTTTCAAGATGTCTAGGAGGCAGTCAGGGTGGGAATGGACAGTGGGATCCATGGGGGAAGATGAGTGTGGGGGTCAGAATGGGACAGATAAGCCCACCCAGGGCAGTTAGGGCTCAGTGTGTCACAGGTTTAACCAGTAGGCCGAGAGCCCCAAGCGACGTCTGGAATTCCTGCTAGCTCTCCCTAGAAAGACACCAACCCAACCCTTATGCCTGAAGTCTGCTGCAGGGTGGGGTGTAGGGCCAAGGACAGTTTCCCCCACACCCATCTCCCCAAGATGGGAGAGGTGAGCGAGAGTAGACTTCTATCCACCAATGTACTGACCCCCATGGGGGCATCCTGAGAGCTGGGGTGGGGTGAGGAGGGGGCCCTGCCAGGGTTCAGGTCCTCGCGGTCTCTTACACGGTTTCTTGTTCCCACTGAGAAAGCTGTACCGTATGATAGACCTGGGGTGCTGGCATTGGAAGGCCTGGGTGTGACCTTGGGCAAGGTGCTGAGCCTCTCTGAATTTCACCATTGAATAAAAGTAATAGAAGCTCCCTTGCTCGTTTATTATGAGCACTGGATGAGAAGAGTCTTAATTGCCCCGCACTGGGCCCGGCACAGGCTCGGTGCTCACAGAGGAATGAGTCGTCCTCTGTCTCCTTACCCTCCCGCATCAGCCACAGCTCACTCAAAATTCTTCCACCCACTTCTCTCGCAGGTATTTTTGAGCACCTACTATGTACCGGGCACTAGATAGGACACATAGCTCCATTTCATCTCTGCCCACCCCTGCATCTGGCACGCAGGAGATGCGAGCCTCCCGGAGTGTGCAGAGAGGAGAGGCCTCTAGGAGTGTGCAAGGGAGGGGGGCTGTGGGCGGAGAAAACTTCCCACTGCCGAGGGAAGGGCCGCACAAACCTCTTTCTTTTTTACCCACGGCGAAATCTCATAAATAAATAAATAAAAGGAAATCAATAGCGTTTTCTGGGCGCAGCTTGGTAAAGCGGAGGATCTCAGAGAGACAATAGAGGCGGTGTCCCAGCCCAGAGAGACAGTGCAGGGCCTGGGGGAGGGGAGAGACCTTAGGAGGGAGGGGAGTGGATGCTGCTGGATGCTGCCCCCATGCAGGGCTGTTGTTAGGCACTGGCTGAATTCTCTCCTAGATGCCCAGAGGCCCCTGAAAGCCTCTCCCTGCCTCCCTGGTCCGTCTTCGAGGCTGAGGGGCAGCTTCACCTCCGCCAGGACTTTCACCAGGGCCCAGGCCCACGTGTCTCTCACAGCCAAGCTGCCATGTAGGGATGGGGGCGGGGGCGGGGATGCTTTCACTATTCTCACACTACTCACGTACACCTACCCACCTACACACACACACAGACACACAATCTTGCTGCACACTCTGCTTCTAGAGCTCAGAGCTCCCTTTTGCATTGGAAAAACTCTTAAACATTCTATGGGACCATAAGCAAGTCACTCCCCTTTGGAACCTTAGTTTCGCCATCTGTAAAATGGGCATGTCCCATGAATCAGCTTGCCTGGAAGAGCTGGAGGATTTTGTTTCTCTCGGGCCCTCTCACTACTTCCCCTGGCCCACCCCGAGGGTAGTGAGCTAGGACATCTATCCATAAGCCTTTCCTGGGAGAGGCTTAAAACAGGGATGGAGGATGGGGTAGTCAGTTGCTCTGGGTATCCAGGGACTTTTATGTCTGAGAGAGGAAGCACCGCACAGTAGAGAAAGCACCAGGTTTATAATTCAAAAGACCTGGACTCAGGTTCCAGTGCCATATTCAATATCTGTGTGACCTTGGGCAAATACCTGCCCTTTCTGTACCTTGATTTTCTCATCTGTAACATGGGGGCAATAATATCCAATGCAGAGTGCTGGGAGAATGAAGGGAGGGCATGCTTGAGAAGGACCCAGCCCAGTGCCCAGCACACAGTAGGTGCTCCCCTATTTTTATCTCTTAAGGCCTTTAGCTGTACTAGAGGTGGGCCCCAGACCACCTGCCACTCAGAATACCAAGAGTCTGTTCCCTGAAGTTCTGCACTTTGCCTCTCCCTCCAAGGCCCGGAAAGTTCAGGATCAGGCAAAGGCCAGAAGCCCCTCCCCCCATCATCACTCGTGGTCCTTTAGTCTCTACCAGGCACATACAGAAAAGGATTGCTTTGAAGACTTAGCGGCCACAATGAGGCCCTAACTTTGGAACCAGCCACACCCCCAACCACAGTTGCCCCCAACGTCAGATGCAGTGATCCATCCAGCTCTGGCATCTAGGGCCACTGTCACAGTGCAGGGCCGAGGCGACAGGATCTGGGAGTGAGAGAACAAAGGCTGGCAAACCCCAGCAGCACGTCCAGCTAGACTCCACCCACCGCTGCCCAGAAAGTGAAATCTGTGTCCAGATCCTCAATCAGAACACCACTGGCTTCCCGCAAGCAAGTTCTGCAGTCGGGAGTTGGTGAAAAGCCGTCGTGGGCATTGCAACCTCCCACCTCCACCATCACCACCCATCCTCTCCCACAAAGCCCTCCTCCCGTCTCCTCTGGGACCAACACCTTCCCCACAGTGAGGGGAAATGGCAGCCTGGGCACACATGGCAGCGATGGGGAGGGCACACGGCCTGCCATCTGGCCGCATCCCCTATCTGTTGGGCTGAATTGTGTCCCCTAAATTTCACATGTTGAAATCCTAACCCCCATACCTTAGAATGTGACTGCATTTGGAGACAGGGTCTTTACAGAGGTAATTATGTTCAAATGGGACCCTGAGGGCAGGCCCCAATCCAATCTGACGGGTGCAGTTATCAGAAGGAGAGATTACAACACAAGCACACACAGGCCAAGCCACCATGTGAAGACAAAGGGACAAGGCGCCATGTGCAAGTCCAGGACAGAAGAAATGAACCCTGCCAACACCTTGATCTCAGACTTCTGGCCTCCAGAAGGACAGGAAATACATTTCCGTTGTTTAAGCCTCCATCATTTGGTAGTACTTGGTGACAGCGGCCCTGGTAAACTAATACACTAGCTTTCCTACTGGCCCGTGGCCCTTATAGTCACACACCCACCACAGGGCCTTTGCATTTGCTGTTCTCTCTGCCTAGAATGTTCTTCCCCCAGACACTCTTGTGGCTTGCTCCCTTATTTTCTTCAGCTTGCCTTCTCTGTGAGGCCTCTGGCTAACCCATTTCAAGTCGCATCACTCCTCCCGCCACCCCCTCATTCCCCTGCTGTGCTTTCTGATTTTGTTTCATTGACGTATAACAGCGATGAAGTACTCGGACCCTCTGCGTACAGTTCAGTGGTCTTGATGAATGCAGCTGAAGACACACAGCAGTTTCTTCCACCCCCTTCCCATCAGCCACCCTCCCTCAAAGCAACTGCTCTTCTGATTTCTATCACCACAGATTCATTCGGCCTATTCTAGAATGTCCTATAAATAGAGCCATCCAACGTCTATTTTTGTGGGCCTGCTTTCTTCCATTCAGAAATATATTTGTTAAACCGCCCCTGTTGTTCTATCTGTTAATAGACTGCTCCTTTTGATCGCTGTTACTGTGCATGGGAATGTACCAATTTGTTGACTCATCCACTTGTGGACACAGGGGCTGTTTCTGGTCTTTACCTATTAGGAATGAAGTTGCTATGAACGTCCGTGTACAAGACTCTCGGTCAATAAATATTTTCATTTCTCACGGGCTAAGGCTGCATCCTCCTGCTTCATTTTTCTGCACAGAACTCGTCAGCATTCAGCGTGCGCTCGGTTTCACTTCCTGGCCTGTTTACCGCTCGCTTCCTTCCCCGAGCGTGTGAGCAGGGATCCCTGGGCTGCTGGGCTTTGCTGTGTCCTCCAGAGCACGGTGGGTGCTTAACGAATGTCTGACGGACAGGCTAACGAACAAATGAACGAATGAGGAAATGTCCTCTACAGATCCCAACTCCCCCGAAGTTACTGGCAATGGGTTTGGGCATGAGCCCCCTGTTGGTCATTTTCGCCCTGGGCGTCAGAGACCCAGGGAGGGGGCTCCATCTCCCTCCCTGGCTGTAACAGTGCTGCCGACGTTGATGCCTCATGGTACTGTATCCAAGGACTGGGGACAGGTTGCCCCCACCAGTGACCCGAACGTTTTTCCTTCCTTGAGTGGATTAAACTGTCAAGTTTCTGGGTGTTTGCAGAGCTTCGAGGGAGCCGCAGACAGTAATGTGGTTTTATTTACAACATAACCACTTCAACGACATCACTGGATTCTGAAAACACAGACCAAATTTTCAGACCCTTGGGGATTTCTAGGACATGATTTCCATAAAAATTAAATATTGATGAATCTTATCTCTCTGCCAACTTCCCCACTCTCCCCACCCCCATTCCAGGCTCCAGAGAGAGGGAGAGAGAGAGAGAAAGGAGAAAATTATTAGAAAAAGCAAAGTGGAAAGGAGGCACAAACACAAGTGTGGGATCGTTTCAATAAACTAGGCAAGGGATTGAAGAGGAAGCCACTGAGCCTGTGTCCGGGGGCAGGGTGGATATGCATCTCGATCCTGACACATCACCTCCAGCCTAAAGCCAGGCTGTGATGTAGCCAGGGATGGCCTCTCAGGGTGGAGGGATCCACATGCAAAGGCTTGGTGATGGCCAAGGGGTCAAGGAGTGGACATTCCAACAGGCAGAGTGAGGCTCCAAGAAGGACCCCTCTAT